TTTGAATTAGTAGTATACCAAGGTATCCAGTGATGTAATTTTACCGTCAAACGGACTTGAAGTTTTTAAGCTAATTTTTTTTAAACCACTTTTGTCCAAAAAAGCATATTTTTGACCCAAAATCAAAAACGCATTCTGGATATTTAAAATAAAGACAAGTTTTACAAAGTTTGTATAATAAGCTTTCAGAAAATATATAACATGTTGGATATATAATACCATCTTCATTGTCTAATTACTCAATTAAAAAGCAAGCCAAATAAACTGCATCTCTACCTTAAGTATATGCACTATTAATAGAGAAAATACTGTATTATTATCATAGACACACCTCTGTCATTTAAGTAAGTATATGCAATACTAATAGAGAAAATACTGTATTATTATCATAGACACATCTCTGTCATTTAAGTAAGTATATGCACTATTAATAGAGAAAATACTGTATTATTATCATAGACATATCTCTGTCATTTAAGTAAGTATATGCACTATTAATAGAGAAAATACTGTATTATTATCATAGACACACCTCTGTAATTTAAGTAAGTATATGCACTACTAATAGAGAAAATACTGTATTATTATCATAGACACACTTCTGTCATTTAAGTAAGTATATGCACTACTAATAGAGAAAATACTGTAATACTATCATAGACACACCTGTCATTTAAGTACATGCACTACTAATAGAGAAAATACTGTATTATTATCATAGACACACCTCTGTAATTTAAGTAAGTATATGCACTACTAATAGAGAAAATACTGTATTATTATCATAGACACACTTCTGTCATTTAAGTAAGTATATGCACTACTAATAGAGAAAATACTTATTATATAAAATGTAATACACAAATTAAGTTTCTCCAAAAGTCATATCAGTTAGGGAATGAATGAATCTTGGCCAGCAGACTTTAAGCCTTATTTGAACTAATGACCTATCAATCACTAAACACAACAATCTCAATGCTACTGGTGACTTGTTTCTAGTTTAATAATTCACCAAATCAGGATCTTAAAAGGGATTTAAAGTTCAATAAGTAATAAATTACACTATGGTGGTTGTGATGTAGATCTAGGCAATCAATGTGTGGTAACTTTAATTGTGACATTATAGAGGTGAAAATAAAGAGTGGGGGTTACAAAGCAATCTATGTAATATATATCCAAGAGATGAAAACTTAACTGCATAGAAACGTATGTGCTGTAACTAAGGCATAAAATAGTGCAATGTTTGGTATCCAACCCCCCACTTTTTTAGGCAGGAATTCAACCAGTAGCTGCCTGAGACCTTTTCATTCCATCAAATATTTAGCCAACAAATGTACCTCTCAAACAAATGCATGCCATGACCAAAAAAATTTTAATATAATCTCCTTTTTGCTATCAGGAATTTTTACAAATTTTTGACTTGTAAAATTCATGAAAAATTCATCTCTTATGAAATAAAAGAGGTGTAAAGTACACAGAAGAAGTAGCTTTCAAAATGAGGTTGACATTGCAGATAGTGATATTCACAAGAAAATAACCTTGACAACTTACACTGTTATGCCAGACAACATGGTTTTTATGAGAATACTGGTTAGGATTAGCACAACACCACAAACACCAATAACAAGTGAAGGTTGAATTGTAGTGAAAATGAGGCCAGTCTTTTCTTTGCTTTTGTAAAACAACATGGTAATAAATTCTAACGGACAAAAGTCATAATTAGACAGCAATTTACAATACACATTGGAGTTTGCAGCAGTGGCATATAGTAGTATACCTGGCTATTGTCTATCCTTGCCTACCTGTCAAGTATTAGACCATTAAATTTAGAGTTATTATTACTTTTCAACAATTTTGACCTGAAGGTACTGTTAAAACCATTTATTTTCACTATTTTGATGTTTTGAGCAATTTCACTGGGGTTTAATTTAAGTTCACAAAATTGGAAGGGAGTTCTATTGTTATTTTACAAGTTCACTTAGATTCAATTTAGTAAATTTCACTTATATACCAAAATTAAAAAATCAACGAATAATTAATGTTGCACAAAGTTCAATAAAAATAAATAAAACTGAAATTTTGAATCAGAACATGAAACAAATGACTATCAATATGTGTGATGTGAATGCAATCAGTCAAGCCATATACATGTAGGCTATGGAATGATATTCATTAAAACAAAATCAATTTGAATATGATCTAAAAAAAAATAATGTATCTACAAAGTTCATACATGACTAAGATCTGGTTCTTAAATGACAGAGTTGCTTGACATTTGAATAAGATAGTGACATAAATTCATATGCAATATGTATCTCAGGATATATGAAGTTTCAATTTCCTCAGTCAAGGCCTGTTCACGATGCAAATGAATGTTTAGTACAAAAATATAAAAACATAATTTTGCATAAAAGAAATTAGATTCATAATTAGTAGTATTTTTTTTAATAATTAAATAATAATAATTAGTTCAATTAAAACGTTAATTACTATCAGAAACAGTATTTTAGTGTATTTGATGTAGGGGGGAAGAAGGGTGCACCAGCAAAATTTTAAAAACATATAGAAATAAAGGCATTAGGTGTCATATAGACTTTCCTTAGTCCATACTCTGTGCTTGGTAAAAACATATAGAAATAAAGGCATTAGGTGTCATATAGACTTTCCTTAGTCCATACTCTGTGCTTGGTAAAAACATATAGAAATAAAGGCATTAGGTGTCATATAGACTTTCCTTAGTCCATACTCTGTGCTTGGTAAAAACAAAAAGCAGTAGTTCTATGACTGTATTACTACAATGCATGTATGCATAATAGTTTTATATAAAACAATATCAAATTTACAATAAGTTCACCCAGCTAGAGGACAATGTGACAACATGACAACATACTTACTTTCTGAAGGTGATTGTCGAAAATATCACCACTTGTTTTAAATTAAAGTTGATCTACCAAAGATCTGTCAGAATTTATAGTTCAACAAGATGCAGACCAAAGTAACCCGACCATATTTCATGTCATGCGTGAAAAGGTAGAAGTCGGTGTCGTGTCAAATATAAGTATACATGCAACTGTATCAATCCTAAGAGCTATCAAGTTGCTGCACATTGAAAACAGACGAGGGCTGCATGCATTTCAAGTACATGCTTCACTGCAACTCAACTTCTTTGTGCAATTACTATAGAGGGACATGGCACCCAAACGAAAGGACAGACTGCTACAAACAAACAATGTCATCCAGCTTGGGTTGCCAGCCATGATTAGAAATAAACCAGCTGATTACAGTACAAATAAGATTTTTATTGAAGTGATGTGTACAGTACACAGTTGGCTTGTGTTTACCATACACAATCAGATTTGTTGGTTGTTGGTTTCACAGTATCCACATCATGTTTGCCATCAACTTAAAAAACTTGATATGCTAGAAAATACCTGTCAAGGGTTAAAGCTCGAAAACTATTTAAAACGTGCTATTTACCCAAATTTTGATTTTTGTTTTCTTTAAATAATTATTTTTTTCAAAATATAAAATCTTAAGAATTCATCTTACAACAGCATGCAGACCTTCATTTATTATTTTAATCAAGTCTTTTAGAAATATAAACCAAAAAGGTTAAAATTAGCATATAGGAAAATTATATAAACATTTCATAGAAATGACAGACTTGTAATTCAATAGATAAAATTAAGTTGGAAAAACTTAAAAATTAATGAGTGAATTAAAAAAATTTATGCTTATGATATGCAAATTAGGATAAACCATTTTACTAATCTGAACACAGAATTTCCTTTACACCAAAAAAGCAATATTGAACAGAAATTTAACATGCTCAACAAAGAAAATTAACAGTACAATTGGTGAGGAATCCCAGTATGTGACTAGCGTCCCCACTTAAAAAGATTTGCCCTTAGCAATTAATATGACACCTCAAATAATTAATAATAATTTAATATTGATTGACCGTCTCTCAAGAAACAAAATGAGCTTTTTTGGAACCCAGCAATCATATAAAACACTCAACAAACAGGAAAAAACATTGAAATTAACATCAAGAAACTATTATAATAAAAATGTATTTGGCCATGAATAATCAAGCACTCACCTGTGCTCTATTTTAAATAATACATGTACACATGACACTAAACATACAATTTTACAAGTTTTTGTGAAGCAAAGCAACAATTCTAGTTTACTGTTGAACCTGTGAAGACTCACAACATTGCCAAAAGGCACCGTTACTATAATAATGCGATTTGTAGTAACTAAGCCACAGTTTACGGCCTCCAAGAGTTCTATTGAGTTGACAATAGGAATTGACAATGGCATTTGGTAGCCTGTTTCACAAGTTGACATTTCTAACTGTTTTAAGTCGTCTACTCATAGTCTGTCCGTCTGTATTATATAAATGATCATAATAGTTACAAAAATAATTTCACAATATTTAATTATTAGACTCAACCGCAAGAGCAATTACGTGCCTGTCATATACAGCTGTGGAAAACCGTAGAGCACACGGTCAATGTACAAGCTACCTGCCAGGACGACTGAGGCTGAGACCGGCGACTAAGGGCTCTGAGTAGTCGACGTGATTGGAAGAATTTGCTGACATGTTGACAATTTCCTCACTATTGAGAGTTGTATTGTTTTTGAATCAAAGGACTGAGCGTTTAGAAACTTTTAAAGCGCCTTTTTCACATGAGAGGCCAACCAATGTACTTACTCTGTTGTTACTGAGGTCCAGTTTCCACAGCTGATGACATCCCGATAAATTTTCAACCGCGTCAATATTGTTTTCTCGTAGAATAAGGGTCTGAAGTTTGTGACATGGTCCTATTCTCTCGATCGCCACTGCAGAAAAAAACACAGTACTTGCTGCTTAATCACACGAGTGTGCATGGGGTGCCTATGAGTGCAGCACACTCAAGAAACTGGAATTACGGTCGGGGACGCACTTCCGTGAAATTAAAAAAACAAGGTCGATCCGAGAGTAGCAACGTACTGTAGTAAGTTAACTTACCGATGTCCAAACCTGACAAGTCAAGGTATTCGACCGAATGAAGCGGCCCCCTGGCCCGAGAACGGATCAACTGTAAACATAAAAATCTACATATTAGCCTCAGATTGATACTCCACAGTAAACTGACAAAACAACTCATAGATAGCCCTACAAACCTGGCTAGTAATTCTCATGGTTACGCCATCTCAGTGGTACTAAACAATCAGGAACGTACTTCAAAGTTATCGACTGTTTACCCACGGCCGCTATTCATCCGCACCAAATAGGCCAAGTATGACACTACAATTCACGCATCGAATTTAATAAATAAATTCTATCTATCTAATTATATAATTTGTTATCTGAATTTGACTCGAAAACTAAAACTAGGGAAAATTGTGTCCATCGAAGGTGGGGTTATTTAGGACCGTTTTTATATACCACTCCGCGTTTGACATTTGACCTAAAAGTTTCAGCTCATTAGCATACATTCCGAAACATGAAACTGGCATCGCGTGCCGTGTCGACAAAGTGCAGTCAGATTTTGAGTGTGTGTGCAGTCAACGAATATGTACACAGGAAAAAAAAATGATTAAACAGGACGCGACATGAAGACCATCGCCCTTTAAGTTCTTTTTATTTGTACCTGATTTTGTTTTTGGTTGAAATATAATGTGTATTAAGGTACTAGTACATAAAAAAAAACTAAATCATATAAAACGGCGATTTATCGTTCGGTGACATATAGGGAAAAAATAGTATCTTGTTCTAAGATGGGTAATTCTATTTTCAGGAATTATTAGAACTAAGCAATACAATTTATTTCCTATGAAACAATGCTTTTTGGATTCCTATGGAAATTGTCCATTTTTGACAATTTGTCACAACATTTTCTCAAAAACCATGACTTGTACCGGGTAAAAACACTCAAAAGGCTATGGCATTTATTCAAATCTATAATTAGTAGCACTATTGTCGGTGTATTGTGATAACATTTTCACTCTAGACTATTCTTTAGGTCGCAATACCCGCGAACTACTGGTACCGTAAGCTAGTCTGGTTCGAGTCAGTAAATCACAATAAAAATATTCCTTAATAAGTGGTATGACTGAGACGGGTTGAAAAAGAAGGGGGTGTCTATTCAAGTTAGTATTATTAAAATCATTTCACATTTTTGTTTTGTTTCCTTGGCACTAGCTACGAAAAATGATAACCAGTGCTCAATCTGATTAAAATAAGATCCTAGTTTAGTTTTTTTTGTGTTTTTTTTTGTTTGTTTTTTGTTAAAATAATATCGTTAATATTTTTTTCATATATTCTATTATTTATTTTTCAAAATTTATTTGCTGGTATTTTTTTTAAGTTTTGGTAATCGCGAAAATACCAGCAAATAAATTTTGAAAAAAAAAATAATAGAATATATGAAAAAAATATGAATGATATTATTTAAAAAAAAAAAAAAAAAAAAAAAAGCCCAAACCAGGATCTTATTTTAATCAGATTGACCAGTGCTATGAGTGTAATGGGTTGGAGTGTAGGATATAAACGAACTAACAGACATGTTTTTTTCTTGGTTGTACTGAAAACTCAATAAATAATTGCATAACCATTATATTATACAAGTGGGTAGTTTGGGGCACTAAATAGCAACCATGTTGTTTCTGGGAGATATTAAAAAAATAATACACAGTACTAACTCATAAATATTTCTGCTAATTAGTTGAACGGTTGTGACGTCATAATTCTATATACAAAATAAAAAGTTTAGATTCCACTGGGCACATCCATCACTTTGAAGAAGAATAAATAATTCCATGACTTTGAAATATTTGAAAAAAAAACAAAAACATTTATTTCAAAGTGTCTGTTACATGAGGATATTTCATTCACCATTTATGTCAAGCGTTTCCTATCTGGTATTCAGAGTCAAATGTTATTCACATGTTTTGTGTTATTTCCTAGTCCCGTTATAAAAGCAATTACGGAAAGAAAATTTAACAGGAAACACTAGATATTTTACGCGCATCCTCCTAAAATTTGTCGTAAAACAATAAACATGAGAACTTATTGAGTTTTGTATATTGTAAGTAAACGTTACAAGTTGTTAAATATTCTTGATATATTCACTCATTTTAGATAGGTAACTACTTTTATCCGTTTATCTGCAACTGTAGTTTGTAACTTCATATTATTAAAAAAAAAATTTTCTCGTCAGTAAAAGCAAAAAAAACAACAAAAAATAGAGAGCGTCGCTTCACATATTCCGTAACCCACCCGTCTTGTGACAGTTCCAGCTTATAATCAATAAGCTCATTGCGCAATGACATCATTTGAAAATGTCCCAATGTTATCCCATCAACCAATAGAAATCTCTCATTGCAGTTTAGATTGTGAAGTTGATAAATATGTTTTTAAACAAATAATAAAGGGAACGGGTTTGTTGTGTCGGTAGTATATATCCCGTCGCTTTTTGACTCGCCAACGAAACAACCCAGCCATTCATACAAGTGTCATGGAAATCACGAAGTTTGTTCAAAATTTTAGAAATACCTAAACATAGTAGAAATAGAAATAATGTTACGTTTGTATGTCAAGATAAAATCTATCTGTTGGTGACAAATATGGTTAAATGACAAGCAATTGATTCACACTATCCAGATTGTGCCTATACACCATGTACTACGGGGAATAATAAATACGACTTACTAAATAAAACAATTGTCTGTCAATATATCCGTTAATGTAATTCAAATTCAGGTACTGAGAATATACCTGGACCAATTTTACTTTTTATTCTCTTGTCGATTTACCCCGCGTTTTCAAACGTGCTCAATATCGTGACTATTTTATTATCAGAACCAAAGTTACGGATCAGGACCATTATTTATCAAGCGTCCTTTACATAAATGGCTCTAATCGTTAGACATGCGCTACGTGTGTGTTACGAT